CCAGATGAGTCAGAAATTGAGGAGCTCTAGATGGAGGAAGATGATCTGAATTCTGGGCCCTTGGCTGCTGCCCTTGGTTATGGGCCTTGGGTCTCTCTCTCTCTCTCTCTCTCTCTGTCACACACACACACACACACACACACACACACACACACACACACACACACCCCAAGTTCCTCTCATTCTCTACCGTGTGATTGTAAAGCTCAGTCCAGCCTGGAAGGTGCTGCTGGGGTTCACTACCTTGCACATTTTCAAACCACCCCTAGCTCTCTGTCTTGGTTGTCTGCCCTCGCACAATGCAGAGAACACTGCTGTCGTCTGTCATGTCCACAGACATTCCCAGCGTCACCTCCAGAGTCAGGTCGAGAGCTGTGCGGAATTGTTTGTTGGGAGAAGTGCTTGTGCAGCCAGCCCCACAGAACAGAGCCCTTCTGGGTACTGGGTCTGGCCTGAGTCTTGGGAAAGGATGGTGAGGCATCGTGTTCACCCCAGCGTGCTTGGCTTTTGTTTGCGTTCGAATAGAAACCTTCAGAAAAAGAAGTGTGCTGATCTGCTAGGAGATAAAAGTAGGCAAGTGTGGCTGTCCTGAGTCTGTTCAGATAGCAGTGCCGCCTGCCTTTGTGATCACCGGGTGCACGCACCCTCTTTCTTTTAAATGCAGCCCCTGTGGAGAAGAGTTGGAGAAGAAATCCCTGGCCCCTCTCTGCACCGGGGCAGCAGTGGTAACTTCCTGATGTTTGGGGAAGTAGTTTGAAGGGAACAAGAAAGGTGCCGGGGACCGCCCCCCCCCCCTCCCGTTGGAGGGCTTTGCAGGGGAGGTAGCCTGCTGTGTCCTCAGCCACAGCCTCCTGCCACTGCTCCTCCTCTCCTCCTGCTTCTCTTGTCCTTCCTGGAGCAAGAGAGCGAGAGAGCAGGACTTTCTGAAGGTATTCTTTCCCACTAATAGGTGGTAGGATGGAGCTCTAGAGAAACCACCCAGTGGTACAAGGGAAGTCACTGGAAGGAGATTAAAGTGCCAGGTCTTGGTGGTGTCAGGTAGCAGCAGCCCACGCCTAACTAAAAGGAGAATGTAAGCTTCGTCAGAATGAGCTAACTCTTCCAAAGGCAGGCTAGGAGGCGGTGGCTGGCTTGCTGCTCTCTCACTCACAGGATGGCAAAGTCCTTGGTTCTCGGCTTTGTTCAGCCATTGCTCAGTCCCTGCGCGGTTAGATTATTCCTCACAGATAGCAATCAACTGGAAGGAAGTGTGTGTGTCTAATTTGCATGAGATTATTTAAAACAACAACAACAAAAAAGGTCTGCATTAGTCAGGGTGATGGTAAACAACACAAAGAGATGCCTTTATAATATAGCCTGTGCCTTGGCTTTCGGAGCCAAATATAATTCACTTACAATTGGCAGTTTCCTTTATTATTCCTTTTAACCTTTTGGATTCTGCAAGGTCTCAATCAAAGATCTGCACTGTTTATCTTGGGGTGAGCAGGAAAGCTGGGGCTAGGGCATCTGGATGTTTATGCATGGGTCCTGTGGCAACAGCTCACCGCAGAGGTAGGATCATCTCTGTACCAGGAGCTAGTGGCTGGAGAGACAGCTAGTTTTGATTCAGGGAGAAGTGAGTGACCCTCTGCTTGGTGTTCCTGCATCCCCCGTGGACAACCTAGCTCTGTAAATAGAGTCCTAAAACTGGCCGGTGCTGCCTGAGCTGTGGACACCCAGAGAGGCATATGGATGCCCCTGTTTGTCACTCTGGTGTTGTTAAAATATTGGCAGGTTATCATTGGCAGGTCTGACCCAGGGGTGTCTATAGCCCCATGTTTTATAGCCCCATGAACTAGTTACCAGCTCTTACCTACACGTGGGGTCCAGGGTGGCAGGGGAGAAAGGAATTTCATCCTTCTCTAAACCTTAACAGACTCAAGGCTGAAGTTCTGACTCTGCCATCTGATGTGTGTAACTGGAGGGCACCTGCACCACTGTTCTCCAGGACAAGTTTGATCCGGGCATTCCTCACCTCTGCCTCAGGCTTTTCACTGCTGAGTGGGCACAATGGCTGAGATAACTCTCCAACTCTAAAGTTATGCTCTGCTCCTTCTTTCTTTTTCTAAAGTTTTCTTTCCTTTTTGTTTTAAGAAAAATGACTCATTTATTAAAACAAAATCAAAACCCTGACTCTCCTAGAGAACTAGGTATATAAGAATCCCAGCCAGTGTAGATTTAGAGCATCAGATAAGGTTTCTGGGAAACAAGAGCCTGGAAGGAAGTGCTGATGGCATTTAAACCATTGCCTCACTGGTGGGCTCCGCAGAGGTAATGCAGGGTGTGCTTTATTAGGAAAACAGGCTTCGTAAAAGCTCAGGGCCAGAGGGCGGAACAACAGGCGGAAAGTCCTGCTCCTTTAACCAGCTCCGGCTCCAAGGCTGAGGCACAGCCTGTAACTTGCTGTATATTTCCCCAGCGCTAAACATTATCGTACTTGTTTATATTTGAAAGAGCCAAAAGGGAAAATGAGAATGCAACTGAATGCTCCTTTTGGGAAAATTATCCTCGTTTGTAGCCAGCAGCTGACAAGGCACATGATCCACCAGGTTTATAGAATTCCATGGTGTACCAGTGACCAGCAGCCTGTGCTGACGTCGCGGTTGCTGCTTGCTTCACACAGAGAGAGGCCTGTGAACTGGTTAAAGCAGCATCCTCCTTCCAGCGCTAGCTAGCGAGGAGTGCCCCTTCCTGTTTAGGAAGAGTAGTTGTCAGTGAGTGACAGGTGAAAGAGCCCAAGGGCCACAGGCTCTAAGGAACTGTGTCCTCCAAGTTTGCCTGGCTTGTCCGTCTTATCCCTGTTCTGTTCTGGGGAGGAGAAATGATAGGAAAAACAACTCATTTGTGGCAAGCTATGGATGAAAGAAGTGGGGCACCTTGTCCAGCCCCAGTCTGAGATGCTCTGTCTCTCGATCACCTGCCCGCCCCCCAATCTGGGTGAATGCTGTCCACAGTCCCCTAGACTGACGGCAGTAGTGCTCGCTCACTTCTCTCTAGCTCGTATGTGTGTGAAGAGGGAAGCGCTGCCGCAGAACGAAAGGAAAAAGGTCAAGAGCCATTTTGAATAGTTGAGGCACTCCCTTGACCATTTGTGGTAGGGCATGCAAAGTCTGAGGGATAGCTGGAGTCCACTCAGGCCAACATGATGCAGAGCAGAGCTGAGCTCTAAAGCATTAATGTGCACCATGTATTAGCCCCCAGGCACAGAGTGCGAGGCACCACTCTTTGAAGATGCTGATCCTCAGAACTGCCTTGTGCTTCATCCACCCCTAGGGGCAAGTATACCATGCTGTGGGCCTCTAATGGAGAGCTGCCGACCAGATGTGGAAAAGCTCTCGCCCTGGTTTAAAAGCTCTGTGTTTCCTCTCCGCTGGCTATTGGGATGCCCGGAACAGCCCGGACCAGCTTGAGTCGTCACACTAGCAGTGACTGCTTACCTGCCTTCCCAGCCACTATGGTGGATCTCTTTTGTGCACACGGTTATTCCCTGAGTGGGCCCTGGGGGAAGCTCGTCACACACTGGGCTCTACACTCACTCCTACTATTCTGTGCATATTCAGTGCCCTCATCCTTCACCACTAGTCACCCAGTCAGCCTCAGGCTCACAGACTCTCTGCTCTCAGCCTGCTAAGATTAGGGTCTTGGTGGGCTTTCACTCGCCTTCCATTCTTTCTTGGGAAAATCCTTTCCGCATGCTACAGCCACTGCAGATGGCGCCCTGCGATTTCCTGATGCCCATGTGCATTGTAGTTGAGAGCGTCAGAGGATTGAAAAAAGGGGGAAGAGAAACTAGCCAAGGGCGGTCCAGGCAGCCCGTGATAGGGTAGAGCAATAATCATCTGAGAGTGTGGGCCTGGTCTTGTTTTGATCTGTTTTCTTGTTTTATTTTCTTCTTTACATTCTATATCCCATTCATACTAATCACAGTCAGTCCTGATTTTTCTTTTTATTTCTGCATTTGTCATAAAATAAAGCAAATTATTCCCGTCTTCGGAAACGATCTAGACTAATTAGTCGTCTCACCCAATAATTAGTTTTTTGTTTCCCTGTCTGTTTTCATGCATTATTGTTAGTTTTTTCCCCTCTTTTTTTAACACCATTACAGATTAAAATGAGCCACATTTGCAGTTGATGGTATCTGTTTTCGGGGGAAGAATGGAGAATTGCAGTACAGAGCGACTTCAAAAGCAGCAATAAACTCAAGGATAAATTAAGGAAATTGAATGAGCCACATTTGGAAGCAGTGTTGAGGCTAATATTCTGTCGCTTAAGGTTAAATTGCAACTGAGAGAGGTTCCCAAGAATCCAAAATCGAGGAGGCAGCGAACTTGAATGCAAGGCACTCTGCGGCCGTCGGGGCCTTTTTGTAAAGGAAGATTTTGCTGCAGTGTGGTTCCTGGCAGAGTCCTCACCTGTGTCCTTTGCTCTCCTCCCCAGGGCTGACAGATGACGAGATCGACCTGGCTTTCCAGCAGTCAGGCACTGCTACAGACGAGCCTCCATCCTTGGGCCCGGCCACGCCAGTACTTCCCGTGCAGCCCCCTCACCTCATCCCTCAGCCATACAGTAAGTCACCGGCTCCCCTCCTGCTGACCTGGGACCTGGGACTCAGGACACTGGCCAAGAGCAGGGCTCCACCACAGCAAACTGGGAGAACTTGGCTTTTCTAGGAATAAAAAAGCAGGACATCCAAATTTGTCTAGAGCCAGTTGTACGCATGTGACAAAGGTCACGGGATGCTAAGCCAGCCAGTTGTGTGATTTCAGGCACTTGGACCACGCAAACGGTCACTTCTCCCGCCTTCTTACCCCAGTGGTTTTGAATGTCAGATCCCTAACCCAGGCATGGGAGTGGCGAATGGATTCTCCTCTACCCATGGAAGTACTGTGTCTCCTAATTTCATTTCTTCTTAACAATATTCATAGGTTTAGGTCAACCTTCGCTCCCTTGTCCTGACTGCTGTGTAGATTCATGTAATGACAGAGTCTCAGGGAGTTTCAGATTAAGTACAAAGGTCCTTTAATAATGACATGGGATCCGGGCAGAGGGGAGTTTGTTGTTTTAAATGGAGGCTGCTGTGGTAACAGATACCGTCTTATACATCCATCCAAACAAGCACATCACCTCTGCTGTAAGGGATGCGGGAGAAGTCGAGAGGAGTTACAGTTCTCTCCAGAGCTGTAAGACACAGCCTAGGTTTGTTTCTTTTGGATAACTCAGCACAGGTTCTATTGTCTTTCAAGTCTTCTCTAAAATTGTCTTCATTTTAATTGTCTCCAAGTTTTGCTTTATTTTTAAAAAGTGATTTAAGACAGAGTTCAAGACCAGATTTTAAAGGATGTATTTAAAAATGGCAGGTTCAGCTGGGTGATGGTGGTGCACACCTTTAATCCCTGCACTCAGGAGGCAGAAGCAGGCGGATCTCTGTGATTTTGAGGCCAGTTCTAGAACAGCCAGGACTGTTACACAGAGAAACCGTGTCTCAAAAAGAAAAACCAAACAAAACAGAAGTGGCAGGTTCATTCTGATCCAGAGCAGGGGACGGAAGCCCTTTTATTTCTTCCTCCTCCGCATTCTCGCCTGGCTTGCCTGCAGCTGGGTAGGTAGGGACTCGCTCCCCAACAGACACAGCCAGCAAGGTGTTCTCTTCTCTCCTGTGTTCGGGTAGGGGCCAGGCAGAGGGTTGGCTGCTGCGTGCATCGCAGGTTGTATTTACAGAGTCCTTTGCTTTCTGGGTAAAGCCGAGTGGTGAAGCCACAATACATACACCCATGTGTCTTGTCCCTCTGAGCGGAGCCTGAGCCACCGGCTGGCACGAAGACCTTTGAGACCCCAGGAGCAGGCTTCTGCCTTTGTGAGCAGGAGCCTCATTTCTCTTTGCCAGCCCAAATCCTCTCAATCTGTTGTGTAGGCTTCGGGCTGTAAGCATGCTTTTTAACTAGAGGCTAAGTAAGTGTCCACACTTTCCTGGGTTGTGTCTCTGAGCCCAGCCGTTTAATGGGATTTGTTAAGGATAGGCAGTGGCAGCTGGGGTGCAGAATTGTCTAAGCACATCTGTTGTGTTCCAGCTGTTTCCTCCCACGGCTTAATACCAAACAGGTCTCTCCGCTACTTGAAAACTTCCTGCTCGGAACAAATTGTTCTGCCCGGTCACAGAGTTGGCACCAAACATCATCCGCTTGCCTGCTTGCCTTCTGGAAGCGCAAAGAGTTAACTGGTAGTTTTTCTGGCCGGCAGCAGCAGTTGACTCTGCAGTCTCCTTCAAGATTACAGGCTTAGACTCTGTTCATCTCCTGGCCCTCACATAACACGCATCTTCTTAGAGACAGGCTTCCTCCTGCTTTGACACTAGCATCGGAACAATGGGAAGATCATTTTTAGTGCTGGCGTTTCCGGTTGTCATCCTCCAGCTTCATTCTTCGAGTTCTGCTACACTACTCCTTTCAGCTCTGGGGTGACTGCTCTTCACTTCTGTACTTTTGCCAAGAGGTGTCAAAACTGCTCAAAAAAAAAAAAAAAGGAAAAAAAAAGCTTGATTTTGATTAATATAGAGAAACAAGACTTTGCCTGACTGATAATAAAACTGATAAATGACATTTGAATTACTTGTAGCGGTAATTTATTACATAAAATATCTTTTATTTGACATGCGATTAGTTGCTGGAAGCATCACTCAATCTGACTAGTTTAAACATGCTCTAAAATGAACCCCAGTAAAAACCAGGGCTGTCGGCTGCTGGCGTTATGAAATATACTAATCCTGGAGTGAGGGAAAAAATCTGACTTTAAATATTTAAATGATTAATTGGGTTTATATATTTTTTTTACCTCTCTAACCCCCTTAATTACAAGCAAACTCAGGGGAGTTTCTGAACTAGGTGTGCAATCTGCATGCTTATCACTGAGGCATTGTCTGTGTCTGGGAGGGATTTATGGCCTCTGTTCATGTGTGTTCCTGCTGAGTCTATGCCTCGATCCATAGCAGCCCTTCCTCCCATTTCTCAGCTGTTTAAGGACATTTCATCTCTGAGCGCAAGTCTAGAAAATGGGATTCCCTCGGCCCAGCCCCAAATGCTCTGTGTCAGCGAACACCTGAAGAGGCCGAGCATGCAGACCCTTATCTCCCGACCTGGCCTGGTGGCCATGGAGTTGCTGGGACCTCCTTTGCTGTCTTTGCCTTCTGGCCAGTGTGTGTGACCTTGAATGTTAGTGAAAGCCAGTGTGAGAACACGGGGAGGACGCCAGTGCACTTGTTCGGTTCAGTGTGTAAGCACCTACTAGATGCTCAACCCTGCATTATGTGAGTGTCAAAGCATGATCTTTCAGAATTTTACAGGCTCTTAAGAAAAAGTTAATAATAATATCAGACGTTGTGATTTAATGCCAAAATTAATTATACCGACAAAAAATTCTGTAAGATTATAGAAAAGAGAAAAATTAATGTGGGCTAAGGAAGTCAGGAGGCTTTGTGCAAGTGGCAGGAAGTGTCACCGGGGGAAGCTTGGTGTCACCTAGTGCGAGCACACACCAGTGTTCCCAGGGCTTCAGAGAAAGCCAGGCAGGATCCAAGAAGAAGCCCTATCCTCTGTTTCTCCTTTTGGTTTTGGTATTTGCCCTTGCATCAAGCCTCTGTGTGCATCCACAAGCCCTGTGGATAGGTTCTGGGTTCTGCTCCGTGCTCAGCTCTGGTTTGTGCTGAGCTGTCTTGTCTCCACCCAGAGGGATAAGTACCAAGGAGTGCTGAGGTATAAGCAGGGCCAGTGTAAATTTTTCTGGAACAATACTGGGTTCCAGCATTTGTCCTCGTCTTGGATGGACAATGGAACCCCTTTAGAGGCTGGCCTGAGCTTTAGTCGCCTGGAGTTGGCAGAGAGTCCTGAGAGCATTCTCCCCCACTTTGTGTCTGTTTCAGCCCTGTTTAGTAACGTATACTTACCCCGATTATCTTAACGCATTGAGCAAGCACTCACTATTGAGTAACTCCCAGGTATCAGGGACTGTGCTAGACCTCTGGGACAAAAAGGTCATTAACGAGATCTGTTAGTTTTCCATGGCTAAAACTTGAGACAGTCAACTTAGAAAAAGGTTATTTTAGGCATATGGTTCCTGTCTGTGATTGGTTGACCTGCTGGTTCGGGCTCTCTGGTTGTGGGTGTTGGGTGACAGTGTCATGTCCAGAGGCGAAAGGAAGGAGAGGAAGGGTCTGGGGTCCTATGTCACCCCACAGTGGCTGAAGGTCTCGCTAGAGTGACGTTCGCGATACCTCCCGAGAGCACCGGGGAACAAGCGCCAAACCACAGCACAAGCCTGATGCTCCCTGCAGTTGCCCCTGTCGGGGGAAAGACAGTTAAGCCAGCATGTCAGTGCCTGGGAGGCAGGGCCAGGGAGGAGGCTGGTGCCGACGAGGGGAAGGGGCGCTCCTGAGAGCAAAAGCTTCACTGACCCCGTGGGTGACGGGTTCAGTGTTCTGACAGGATGGACAAGAGCGCCAAGACAGGGAACTACATGAAGACCTCAAGGATCTCCGGGCGATCTGAGAAGCTGGAGCATGCTGGGGGAGGCAGCAAAAAAAAAGACAGCTAAGCAATCACACTGACAGAGGATGACCAGCAGCATGTGATAGCCAGTCGCTTCTGAAGCTGCCTTGTCTACTGGAAGGAATGTCGTTGGACTGATGTTAGTCGTTTGTTTCAGAGGCGGACATGGGGAGTATGCCTGCCTGAGCTGCCCTCGCCCTCCTTGTCTCTGTCCAGCAACACGTTGCGTTTCCCCGCAGTTGGAGTCCTCTGTCCACTCCTTCAGGGCATCTTTCCAGGGCTTCATTCTGACCTGATGGAGTTTGCCCTGTGGCTCTCGCAGTCCCCTGTTCCCCACCATGCTGCACTTAAATATTCATTTTAGTGTCTTTCCTATTAGTCTGTGAGTCCTGAGGCTTTTTAAAAACTTTAATGGCCTGAGGCTCTGACTTTGCAGATGTCTAGAAATGCTTGTGGCCTGGGTGAACTGTGGTGGAAATGTGCTGGAGAACTGAGAAGAAATGCCTGATGACAGTGCCCATCAGCCGGACCATTCTCATGCTCAGTCTATGTAGGCTGCTCTGGGCAAGCTGTGGAAACAGTAAGGGACGGGCTTACTTTCAGGAGGTCCCTGGCATTTGGGGAAGGACAGAGATGACTAGCCACTTCTGTGCTCCACGGCGATGATCTTGACAGTTTCCGTTCAGTGAGCAGGAACAACAGTTTGCAACTCCAGAATGGTGGTCTTCAGAGCCTTGAAAGGATGAGGCTTGAACTGGCTTTGCATGTCACTAAGTCAAGGCTACATTTCAGAAAATAGATTTTCTCTGCTACCTAAATGTAGGGCATCTAGCTCACCGTGGAGGCTCTGCAGTCTTCAGGGACCTAGGTCTGCATCCTTGACAACTTGCTGGCATCCATCTTGTCCTGCCCACCTGCTTCAGCCCTAAGTGCCCCATCTGCCACCACCAACCTACAAGAAGGAAAAGGATCAGCTACCTCCCAAGGACACCTAGGATTTGCCATCTCCTCTCCATCCCCTCCTTGCTG